GGCCACAGAAAAATGTAATTTTATTGTTATTAATTATAGTGATAGCCCTAAAGCAAAAAGGTCATTTTATGAAAACCAGAGGGTTTCAATGAGAAATGCAATACATTTTTGACAATATAAATTGATTAGTTCTGTTGAACATTGATCTAATTTGAAAGTTGGAATCATAATTGCACAAGAAAATAATAGGATTTCAAATTAAATAATACATGAGAGTATTGTAAATGTTTAACATCAACAAACCAAAGATGAACTGAACACAAATGAGGTATCTGCAAAGTACTCTAAAAAAAATCCCTAGCTGGAAACAAACATGAAGAAGAACATACTCAAAATGAGATCATCTTCTCTAGCTGAGGGCACAAAGTTGGCTGTCATTTCTAAATTTGTCCATTAACAATTACAATACAGAGCCAGATACTAGATCCACCAAAATTAGCAGTATCTCCCACTCAAGAGCCAGTTTCCTGGTTTCTAGGGTACATGTTGTACTGAAGCCTGACTCTCTAATCCACTTTACCATCTGGCAATCTATTGAGAAAAGCATCAAGAAAGTATGAAAAGCTGAGACAGGCACTATGCCCTTCTTAAAATGTCAGTTGGGGTGGAGCTGTTAAACATATTCCACTTCTAATCCATCCCTCTTCCTTGGGAAGGATTCTGTGGGAAACCAGTTGTATCCTTTCTAAATTCTGTTACATCATCAAAATAAGGTAAAAGAAATATGGCAAAACTAGGAAACAGACTCAAAGACGTAAGTAAATCTTAATCTGTAGATCGGTATGTTACAAAAAAAGGTACACAAGGTATGCTTTTTTTCTGTTATTACTGCCTTCTGAAAGTAATTACCAAAAGAAGAGCAAAACTATCTCCTTAAGTAAGCATCCATAAAACAAGAAGAAAAACAAACCATGCAATGTCAGCACTTCAATCTGAATAGCATAGTTTGGAGTTTTCATGCCACCAAATTAATATATCCTTGGAATATGCCATAAATTATGAACTCCTTAAAAAGTGCCGTATCCAACACTTTTGGAATGCTGTATTGCATTATTTTCTCCTCATAGATGAAAATAAAATATCATAGAACTAGACTAAAGAAATCAGCAGTAGCTTAGATAAAAGTGATCATGATTTGCTTCTGTTTGTTATATATAATCAAAATTAAGTCCAGACCAGTAATATGTATACTCAACGGATTGGAAGAGCCAATTTTGCAAAGCTGAAAACAATTATGAGCTAAATCAGTTGGGAGAAAGAAATTAGAGAGGAAATGTGGATAATAACTGGAAAGTGTTTAAAAACATTTTACCAGAGGTTTAAAAAAAGAGAATGAAAGCTGGGCTAGCCTAAATATTGACTTGCATAGAAGTGAAAACAGCTATGTAAAGCAAAATAATTGTGCAAAAAAAGACATTTATTAGAAGTCAAGAGTATTAGACAGAAGATAAGAACTACAGGAAATTGATAAGGATGGAAGCATGAAGTAAGTTTTTTCATTAGAGTTTGGGATAACAAGGAAGATTTTTGGTCATAGCTACAGAAGTGTAGCCATGTCAATAATATATGCAAAAATCTGTATGTTCTGTAAATAAATCTGATCTCTGAAAAAAAGAGCAGAAAAAATCAGTTCTGTCATAAGAAGACAATGCTATGTAGTTCATGCAGTAAATCAGGAGAATTTTAAATAACAAATTAAATCAGCAGACCTGCATAATTTGCAACCAAGAGTTTTAAAAAAGCTGGCTGAAGACATTTCAAAACCATGAATATCCATTTTTAGTAAGTCCAAGAACACTGGAGAAGTTCCAAAGGACAGGAAAAAAAAAAAGAGCCAACATCACACCAATATTTTTTTTTAAGTTATATGTGTAACCCAGGCAATTACAGCCCCTTCAGCCTGAGCTGAAAGGATAAAATAATGCAATAGCTAATGGAGGACTAATTTAGCAAAGGACCAGAGGTGTGTAATGCAATTAATGCTAAGCAAAATAGTGTAACAGAAACAAGAAGTTTTTGTGTGCCTTCCTGAAAATCTCAGTGCTTTTACTGTCCTTAGGAAGTAAAGAAAGGCAAACGTGGCCAGGCAAGACAAGGAGAGCCAGCAAAACATGGTCCTTCCAAGTCTGCAAAGAGCCTGGGGACAAAAGTAACAAAACACTGCCGTTAGAAAGATTCAGCATTTAGTAGAGCCCATACAAATGTGACTAACCCTCCACGCAGAATAAAGCATCTTTGAAAAGTGGATCATATGTCTTTTGTAGCAACACTTCTTAAGTCCCCTGAAGTTGACAGTGTGTCTTTTTGTAAGCCTGGTTCTTAATTTCAAATGGCCTTTTTCCATAATGGTATTTAACCAAGCTTTACCTTGGCATAGAAGCAGGGGAGAAAGGCTTTAGCATGCCTGGTACTCCATTCACCGAGGAACATCCAGCGCAAAGAGGTTGTCTGTATTAATATAATTCTGAAGGGGTAAACTAACTCCTAACCAGTTAACCCAGCTAATAATTGGGACAACTTGCTAACTGGTTAGGGTTAACTATGTGTAACATTGCCATTGATTTATGACTCTCAGGTTCACGGGTTATTTAGATTGTTCAATTTAGCACTTTTCCCCAGCTTTCAATTGAACATTTTGAATCAGGTGTTCAATGGATTGATCGATACTAAGTACAATAGGTCTCTGTACTGCTCCATAAACAAAGTTGACTTTTATAGCCTTGGTGTGATTTAAACCTTTAACACTTTAAACCATCCTGCAGCACTCTTGCCATATAACCATATCCTTCCCTTCACTTTCCTTAATTCACATCAGACTGTGACTTAGCAACATGGCTGGCAATGAAACCTGCTGTGTGCCTAGGGGGCCTGATCCTGCAAATGTTTATGCATGACACTGCGTGCAGATAAATGACCCCTTTGAGCCCAGTGAAGCTAGTCACATATACAACCCTGTTAGGGTTTACTAGGTGTAAGGGAAGGACTGACATGTGAATATTGAACTTTGTGGTTAGCGAGAGCTTTCCTAGTAATCAGAGGCCCTAAGTAGGACCTAAGGTCTCATTTGTTCAGCGCGACTCGTGACTTGCACAATTTTTCCCTATATTAAATTCACTCCTCTCCACAAAAATATGCTCAGATGTCCACCTTTGCAAACCGTCCCTCAACTCATGACTGTACATAACAGATGCAGTTGGGCAGGGGACTGCTCATGTCCACCTGCCAGCTGAATTTGATGCCTGGTTCAGAGAGGAGAAGGCGAATGTCAGAAGAAGAGTAAAATGCAGATGCAACCCTGAAGGCTCCTCAGTCTGTAGAGTGTTGCTGGATGGCAAACTCTCATTCTGCACCATAGCGTGTGAGTGAACCCACCGGACACATCATCCCCCATTGCATGATCTGGCCAAGTGTTTCCTTATAATTTAGCAAAGATGATGCTTCTGGAGGATGAAAACCTCGCATCAGTTTTGGGAAGGACCTCATTCTCTCTGCTGCTTGGAGTGCAGCAGCTCTTCTGTTCCAGAACCAGCGTTATTCTCATGCAGGGTCTATACAGGAAAGAGATACTCTCACTTACTTTCCTCAGCACCATGTCACTGACCTCCCGTTCACACACACACACTTATCATGTTGTTCTTGATTAAGTGCTGCTGGTTTGGCTGACCTTCACTGGAGATTCCTCTAGAATAGAGTCTGTCTGACTAAATACCCTTCAGGCATGTGAAAAGTTTGTAGGGATAACTGATGGAGTCATAAAATGGAAGAATTTACTGTCTTACCCCATAGTAAGAAACAGATCCTCCTTAAGCACTTAAATAACTACAAATGTTTTCAACTCAGTGTTGGTATAAAATAATAATTAAAAAAAAAAAAAAGTCCTTCTTTCTTCAAAAAAGGCAGGAAGGGAAGGGCAGGAGTAGCTCTCTGAGCCACCACCACAATCCAGCTTTCATCTCACACACTAAAAAGGCATAGACAATGTGAAGCAGTTGCAAATGTCTTAAAGAGCAAGTTAAATGATTACCACAGTCTGGGATCTTTTAATATCTGTTGAGCTGAGTGTCACAAGCTACACACATTTATGCATTTAACGCAGCTTTAAATAGTATACATAAATGCATGTCATTGAGCAGTGACAGGAGAATCAGGCAAGTATTTTTACTTATAAAAATATCCTCCTTCTGCGTTGCTATTCCACCTTGAAAAAGTGCCATATCCAGCATCCCAGGCCCTAGGCCCTGAACACTTTCCTTTGGCATTGGTTCCTGTGGATCAGCTTCAGAATCATTTGAGGTTAAGTTTGTCTCCAGCCTCAGAGGCTCTATTTTGGAGAAGCAGCTTTCTTATTTACGTATACCACCAAAACCTGTGAAAAGAAAATGAATCATATTTTGATTTCGGAAATAAGATGGGGATTATGCAGATTATTTCCTGATACATTATAAAGAGAAATTCTTATTTTCATAAATAATGTAGTTATATAAAACTGTAGCCAAATAAAAGGCTCCCATCTCTCAGCCATCAGATCCAGAAACAGCTATAATTTAACAAACTGAAAATGAGAAAGAAACCGTTCTTATGAAGTTTCTTTCTTACCCTCATAAAATATCTTGTTATGAGAAGCTGCTGTAACACAGCTGTGGCATTAATAGCAGAACTCTGTGTGTCTGGAATTAAATTTTACCTGAAATGTTATTCAGTAAATGAAAAGAATCATTAAAATATATTACAAGCTATTACTAGGACAATCCATCCAAGTAATTTTTATATTGCCATCTTCTTCTTTTACAAACTCATTGCAAATTTTAAGGGAAAGAGGCCAGACAATCAAGAAACAGCTCAGCATTATGAGGAAAGAAAATATTTTTGCTGATGACTTGAAGACCTGTACAGTTGCAACCAATGACCTGGGTGAGGTGCAGTGCAGCCCCTCAGACACTGTAAAATTGGACAGCTGATCACACCTCTGCAGAACTGCAGGTCATGATGGATCTTCCCACGGCGACAGCGATGTTCACTTTACTCTGTCGGAAAAGGAGAGATTAGCTGATGATGGCGTAGCCATTTTATCATTGCCATCGTCCTTATCTTAACTTGCTTGGAGCAAGTGAGGATTCTGCTTCTAGAGCTACATTCACACAAGTGCTGCGTTTGTATAGTGTTTAGCACAACAGGCTTCTCTACAACTCTTAGAGATCAAAGACACTACAATTCTGCTACTAATGATGATGATCATGCATATGTTGCTTTTCACTCAGGAAAAGGTTGCTAGATTGTCACTAAGAAGTAACAGATGGAAAAAAAAGACAGAGAAATTTCTACATTCTCTGATTTGAATACGCCTCCTACAGAAAGTTGTCTGCAGGCTCCCCAGTCATATTTCTGCTACCCAGCTCATAGACAAAGGTGGTGTATAATTAGTCACTGGCATTTTAGGGTTTTTTAAGCATAGGATTTAGCTGAAAACAATCATACCTGTGTTTCATTGCTTAGAATACTACAGTGTTTTAATTGAACTTTTAAAATCAAAACTGCTCTAATAAAATATTATAAGTGGTTTTTTTTATATTGGTATACAAACAGCTGCAGATTAAAATTGTTTATAACCAGTTTGCACCACTTGAAAATCCCATTCTTGATCAAAATTAAAATAAATAATAATATTTACTAATTTAAAATTCACAGATTAGGGCCTTTAAAAGCTTTTGTACAAAACAACTTTAGACCCTCAACTTCCTACAGTTGTTCATGAAGTTAATTTTTCGTTGTTCAGCCATGTTCCTAAAAAAAAACAGCAAAACCATTAACCAAATGTTAGGCCAGCCTGTGTCCAGACGGTGATTGTGAAGTTCTGCAACAGTGCTCTTTTTGAAACTCTTCATTATTAAGGCACCACTGATAAAAAGTAACTGTCCTGCAATATCTCAAATCCATTGCTGTCTGTTATAAATTTCCCCTTTCTGCACTGGAACGAAGGACTCAGCGCTGCACTTCAAGGAACTGAATTCCATAGCCAGGCAGCTTAATTTGCCAATTCACTTGATCCATAAAACATAGTCTACACACATGGACCATATTACAGGCATTTCAAAGGTGAAGTGAAAAAGAGCAGTCTAGTGAATAAGGAACATAGGATGCAGCCATATCCTGCAAAGCTTTTTCTAAACAAGTACCAAAACTTAAAATTAACCCACCACTGTACCAAATGGTCTGAGTCAGATACAAAATGACCCATATTCAGGCATAAGCAAGGCCAGCTGTGTTGAGCCTCCATGCAACAGAAAGTCCTCTGCTCCAGAAAAAAACAGTAGCTTGTGAAATGAAATGAGCATTTAGACATAGACAAAACAGCCTGGGATGAAAACCTGCTTTAAGTTCATGGCAGCTTCATACAGAAAACATACAGAAAACTAAAGAGTCTGTTTTAATTACTCACCATAAAGCTGAAAGATCAGAGAAGCTCAGTTTATAGGAGCATTTTCTGGAAAAAAAAATATTCCCAATTCAAGAAACAGCTGAAGAAAAAAAATCAAGACAATTTCAGTTAGAAAAGTCAACAGCAACTCAGAAGATCAAGAAATATGACGATACATACTACTGCTTTATGAACAGCATTGAAATGGTTTGAGAAAAGAAGGTATTGCTAAGAAGACTGCACTATTCTAGATCATCTGCAGAACACTGGCAATACACAAGAGCCACAGACTTGCTGAACCCAGGTCAGCCCTTTATTAACAGAAAGACTGTTTTGAGAACTGTACAGCAAATGAATTGATTCAGTTTCTGGTAAGAATATCTCAAACCTTGTTTCCCACATGTATTGCCTCCCGCAATGGAAAGGTTACCTTTTCATGTGTACAGTGCAGAGAGCTCGAGGATGGTAATGAATATCAAGCTGATGTTTCTCTTAGTGGCAGGTTTTCCAAATGTGGACGGGCAGCCATACGCACACGCACTAATCAAGTCTCCCTCTTTCCACGGGAGGCTGCTTAGAGAAATAGATGGTAGTAGGATTCGTGCTCTGTTGCTTAGGGAAGAGGGAACAGATGGAGAAAAATTAATTCCCAGGGCCTATGGCTGCTAGGGGATTCCCCCATGCCACTTAAGTCTTTGAAATAAGAGAGGAAAGTTTCCCAAACCACAGAAAGCGAAATTTTACTCCTTGCTAACTTTTCTATTTATTTAAAAAGCTCTTTTGGCAGAGAAAATATTTCTCTGCAGCAGACATAACAACTGCCCCAGAACTGCGGAGCAATCCCATGGTGTACGCTGTGGTTGTCCTGCAAATTTCCTTTTTAGCTAAACCACAAAATGATGGGATGCCAGCCATGAGAGAGCATATTATTCTGACGTTTGGCACTTACGTGTGGAGAATATTAACTGATCCCTTTTATTGATTAATTGCACCCTTTAATGCCATTAGGGAAAGGGTTAGGTTATAGATTCCTGCTGAATGGGAAAGGCAAGTGGCACACAGGGCTTATAAATCACCCAGCTCACAGGGGCTCCAGCAGCTGTGCAACTGTACAGATGTGGAGTGCAGTAGCAGTTAATGGTGGTGTTAGTCATGTGAACAGAACCACACAGTCAGTGCTTCTTGGAAGAAAACAAACTTATTTTGACCATGTTAAATATAGTTATTTTTAATAACAATTGACTGCTGGATTTAAACCTCTCAGTTGAACCCAGGCAAGCCAACAAGACTTGATAAGATAGCTGAGGGGTCACCAGGACAAAGACCTCAGGCAAGTGTGGCTGTCCTGAGGCAATGGAGTGATGCCTAGGGACACAGCAATCCACTCCGACTACCCTCCTGCCAGGCAGGGCTGCTGCATATTTTACTGTGAGCTACTGCAAATGCAAGTGTTGAGGGTGCAGCCAGGAGTGGGCTGAACACAAGACAACAGGTATCAAAGTCTTGTTTCTAAAGCCATGTGTACTTCTTCCATTCTCTCTTCTGGCCTCTAATTTCCAGTGGATCACTAAAAGAACAAATGAAGATAATGTTTAAACTGTGATTTAAGCCATGGCAGAAGAAAAATTGACCAAAGTAGTGCTGGGGGTCTTTTGGCTAACAGAGCAGTTAGCTGCTCTTTAGTTGACTCAGCTTAAAAGAGTAAAAAATGTTTATATTTATTTTAGGAAAACATCAAAGACTCGTTGTTCCAATCCTGCCTGTAGCCTCTAGGCACAGTAGCGGTTACTGCACTAACAGCTCTTTTTTGTAGTGGCTGAGCCAATAAGGCTTTAACATACTCCTTGAAATAGGAATCTATCTTCTCTGGTCTATCCTTCTCCATCCTATCCTGCCACAGAACAGAAGGCAGTCACATCCCTGGACCTAAAGCTTGCAGTTTAAAGTTCTTGCAAAAATTCACTTATTTGCAAGTTCCAGGTCCCTAAAACAAATGCTGGCTTCCACCAAAGCCAATGCAAACCCCAGCTTGTGGCATAAAGCCCTCTTGCTGCAGGTGGGGAAAGTGCTGACACACATCCCACGGGCGAGAGGTCCTGCACGATCGCCTATCACCAAACGCTGGGTCCCAGACCCACGGAGGTGTGACTGAGCAGCACAGACCCCCCCCCCCCCGGCCCTGCACAGCGCAGCGGAGGTCAGGGACCAAGAGCTGGCCCTCTTCGGGAGAATCTGGGCAAGCACAGATAGGCAATCCTTTCATGAAAGGGGACATGCAGCATTTAACCTTATGGCTGTCTCCACACACAAAGAATATTTATCAGATTGTCCCTGCTCCGGCGCAGCCTGGCACAAGAGCATCCCCAGGGGATGCCCAGCTGAACGGGATGGTCTGGGCTCTGGAGGGAGGGACTGCAGGGACAAGGGACATGGCAGGAGGTGAGACCCATTTGGTTCCTTCTCTTACATGCTGGCTGACTGCATAGGAAAATTAACCTGCACCAGAAAAAGGCTCATGAAAAAGGAGAAGTGTAAATTACCTCTTTGTTTCGCAAATGAGGAAAGGGAGGCAAGACAAACTATGCGTTTTTCAGGTCCAATTCCTTCCTTGTATACTTCCTGGGGCAATGCAGTTGTGTGCCTGCTGAATAGCTCAGTCTAGCTCCAGATAAGCAGTCATTAGTTTTCTTAGGAAATGCTCTAGCAGTAAGATACAAAAACTGAGTAAAATTGTTCAGTCTTTAGTACTGAAGCATACATAGAGACAGATGTATATATACACACATAAGTATAGGTAAAGGGGTACGCACAGTCACACGTACACACAGCTTCATAAAAATTGATAGATCTGGTGACACTTTCTGTAGGGGTGGAATAGAAAGAAAGAAAAGGGGGGGGGGCGAATATACAAAATTAATAAGCTGAAACATAATTGTCATGAGTAAATGTTAATGCATAGGGATAAACTTTTTTTTTTTACATTTTATACATATTAATAGGCTCTTTCTTTGAGAAAAATTACATCAGACATTGATAAATTTGACAGAAATGAAAGAAAAAAATGGTCGCACTATTAGGAACACTCCTGAGGTGGTGTTGAACGGTGTCTTTGATATATCAGCCTTCAGTCTCTGAGCACATTCGTATTAACTCACGTGTACACCCAGAATTCAAATGAACTGCGTCTTTAGATGCTGGCTTTTAGCAGCAGTCCCACCAGATGGGCTGGAATCAAACTCATGGTTTCAGAGAGTGGTATGGTGTAGTTTTCTCAGTACAGTTTGTGCCTACTGACTCTCTCAGAAGATTAGAGAAAGAGGCAGCATATAGCAGATCGTTAAAGATCCACACAAGGCTGAAGGGTGAAAAAAAAATCTTCAATGAACACATAGCTCCAAGTACATACATTCTTATACTCCAAGAGATCGGCGCAAGTCTGTGTATTTAATATTGCTGGAAAGAGAGAGATGACAAATTGCTTGGAGTGGATTCACTTAAAGGCAAACAAGGGCTAACCATTGATGTTTGAATACCTCAGTGATGTCTGAATGCTGGTGCATCGCCACATGGATGCTCTTTATAACCTTTCAAGAAACCACTGTGAAAACAGTGCTACACACCTGCAATATATGTGTTTGTCTGGAAACATCATAACACTACAGTAACTGTCCATGAATCTTCCAGTAAAGCCAGCATACCCAGGTGCATCACATGGCTTAGGATTCACAGTGAGCCTAGAAATAAATAAAAAGCTTAAGTCATGCATCTTTTTCTCATTAGCCCATTGCTTTTATGAACTAGACATGGGGAGGCTGGGTTTTTAAGATGTGAGTTAATACTACCGATACATGTTTCCGAGCAGCTTCAAGCCAAAAAAACAAGAGAGGAAAAGATTTGAGAGGTGGAAAAGGAGGCAGCCATGGAAAACAAATGCATAAAGAGAAGAAAAAGAGATGAGTAAATGTGTGTTAGATAACAAGGATCTATAAGGGAAGGAAAGACAATAAGAAATGAAAGAAATGGAAGATAATAAGAAATTGTTTAATAATTGGAGTCCAGAAAGGAATATATAATGTAAAGGATATACATCAGTCTATTAAAAAAATTTATTTTGAACTCTGTTTTTATAGAAGTTTGAGTTATTCTGTGAGATTTCTGTAATAAAGTCTGCTTTCAATGGACAACAGGAAAAAAAAAAAAAACAAACCAAAATTATTTAAGAAAAAGTTAAATATTCAATAATCTTTCTCCCCTCCTCTGTCCCATCAGCATGCAAGCACTCTCTTTGTACACACACAGATACAGAAATAAGATATAAACAGAAAGATACCTTTCTGTTCATCACATAAGAAAACATAATTGGTTTCTTAGTCATTTTTTTATCTGGTTTTATAACAAAAGTTAAAAATACTTGTTTGGGTTTTTTTCTTTTAAAAATTTCAAAGTCTCCTTTTGGTAAGCAAATGTAGGACATCGTTTATATTTTTGCATGAATTCATTCTTCAGATGTCAATCATAAGACTGCTGGCAAATTAATTTGCATGTATAGTCAATATGATGAGTGCTAGTGACAAACTTTAGCTCTTACGTGCAAAACACAAGCATTTCATTCCACTCAAGACAAAGAGTTTTCACCAGATCTACTGTATATTTGAATCTCTCAATGCCTACTATCACAGCATGCATAGTAGTTAAAGATAATTAAAGTGATAATACACCTGTTAACTGTGGGGATATAGTGCCTGCCATCAGACGGCTTAGAATAACTAAAACAAACTGGCAGAAGGGTTGAGCAGACTGTGTGTTCCTGCCGGCTAAGAGAAGCCTCACAACCTTGTCCTGTTGTCAGGGAAATAAAGCAAGAGTCCTCCTATTTTATAAAGAGAGGCCACAGGCTAATAGACCAGCCATTTTACAGATCATTCTCTTCTTCTTCATAATCAGGTGGACCAATTTCCCTCTTTTTCACCCCTGCCTGAAGCAGCTCCCTTTCCAATAACCCTTCTCTTTAGGGAAAGTACTCCAACTGCTTATTTGTTCTCTAAATAGCTATTAAGTGCTTAACATGTCTTTTACCTTCTCTTACAGCAACCCAGTGTCTGCAAGCCTATTCAAGATGGGACCTGGGTTTTCCCTCAGCCCATGTTTTCAGCATCATCAACATCAGCATTTTAAGCAAGCAGCCCTGTCTGCAGAGCAGGTTGCTTCTGAATGACAGAAACGTTCAAATACCATGTTGCTGGATATATTAAAAAATCACAGATAAGCAGAAAGGAAATAATTTAAGAGCTCCTGTTTCTACAAAACAATGTGCTTACTGTAAGGACAGAGGTGTTGTATTTGACTGGCAGTGACCCCTTTTATTCTGAGCTGGCAATAATCTGCAACAACAAATACATCCAAGCGTTTTACTCATCCGTGGATACTAATTTTTCTCCTCCTGCAGATATCCATTCTTTGTATGTGTCCAGTGGCTGGAAGCCAAGAAACTCATTTTACGCTTGATAATTCATGGCTAATCAGTGCTAATCTGTTTGGGAAAACATGTATAGCTCAAGCACAAAGAGAGTCAGCTCGGTTCGGCTGCATTGGTGTTGACTGTCCATCGCTGAGCGCAGCTCCACGAGCTCCTCCATGGGACCCACCTGGAGATTCACTTGCTAGCTGCAAGCGGGTTCTCACCAAGAACCAAGACTTCGGTGCTTTTTGAGACCATGAACGTTTAAAATAAAAGTGAGAAATGAATCCTGGTGCTATTTGCACCAATTTCACTATTCACATCTCTCAGAACAGTAGTCCCTACTAGTACAGGTTTACCCCTGCAAAGCTTGTGGGAGGCTGTTTTGGTCCTACTGAGACCTAGTCAACTAAAAAAAAAAATAATTGTGAGAGCTATGTAAGGGAGGTACACATCATGCCAAGTTTGCTTTGAATTTATGGCACCTGAAATTCCACTGGGCAGATATCCATCACCCGAACGTTTTATATATGGGCAACTATTAGGAGCAAAATTAATATACTCCAGTCCATGTACACAACCCTAGAAAATACAGCTTCCCCATAAAAATAACTGTAGACTGGAGAAGAAATGGAGGCAAATACCCTGAACTCAGTGAAATCGAACAACACGTGGCTTTTAAACCCTGAGAAGGCGCTCAGATAACAAATATTGATTTTACTTCATGCAAAATAAGGTTTGTGTTATTGCTGCAAATTTCCTCTTCTGATATTTTCCTGTCGGCTTTGAGCCATATGTTTCTGTGTAAGACAGCAAAGGCTCAATTAAACTCCTCCGCGAGACCGTGCCCTGCCCACGCCAGCCCTCCGCCGAGCAGAGGCACCGTGGCGAGGGGAGATGGGCGCGCACAGGCTGCGGGTGCTCCCACATCCCACCCTCCGTCCCAAGGCTCGGCTTGGAGTCGAGGTTGCTGAGGCATGTCTCAGCTCAGCTTGACAGATCCGTAGTGTGGTTATTCAAATGAGGTCCTGTCCCAGCCTCGTCTGGAATGTCTGCGTGACAGCATTTCCCACTCACCCCTGCATTTTTTGTTTTTTTTTTTTTAATCCATTAAAAATAAGACAGCATGAGCCTTTGAAAAACCTGTCTGTAAAATAAAGGTCTGCATTAAAGCCAGGTACAAAAAACTATCTTCCTGACAAGCAGTCATTATTTGGAGGTGCATCTATCTCTCAGGGAATCGGTTACGTGCCAGAAACTGAAAAACAATCCCATACAAACAGCAACATTAGGGGAATCTTAAGGTTGAAATTTAAGCACTAAAAAGACAGAGTGTACCTCAGGAAAAGCTAGATTAGCTACCTTATCTCTGCCTGCAAGCATACATGCAATATTACAGCCTTTAATTAAACAGACATGTTTTCTCTCTGACAGAATGTATCAGATGGTCTTCTAGATTTTCTGTGTTTAGCATATATTAACGATTTCTCTCTTCTCTGTGTGTCCACCATTTAATTAGCATAAAAGCCCCCTAGCCCTCTGTTCGCTTGGTCGTCTTTATAGTACATCCTCTTATCTCAAAGGTACTTATTTTAATAATTTCATCAGTACAGTTGAACAATGCATTCAACAAGACATTTTTCACTTTAGAGACAGATGTACTTCTTAACAATAATTCATTACTTATTACCTCACAAGCTGTTTTTCAGACAAATAAACTCACAATTTCATTACCAGTATCTTTTAATGATGTTTCTGTTTCAGATTGCTTTATCATCAGAGTCTAATCCAAATTTCACTGAACTTTCCCATTAGTTTCAGAGATCTGAAGGTTCTGTTCTTCATTTTCCAAGCTGCTGCCCTCAAAGCACATCTCAGAAAAATCTGTATACCATTTATCCAATGAGACATTTTTAAATAAAAAGGAAAATATTTCTTTAACATCAAAATGCCTCTCTAATGAGCAAAACATGCTGCAGAGGTTTTTCACTAGTTAGCTGAGAGCATGTCCTAGAACACACTAAGTGAAAGAAACCTGCATGTTGAATGATAAATGGGAGCAGGGTGTTTTCAGAAATTATTTTAGAGCATAGCACAAATGAGTTTCATATGCAGACTTGCAAAATCATCATACTGGGTGAATTTGAAATCTCTTTCAAAATGGTTAATGTTAAGACTGAGAAGATATAGTATTACGATAAAGCGTTGGAAGAATAAGGTGGTCTCTGGATTTCTGGGCTGTGCACTGCCTATCCCACACTCCTAAACACAACTGTGGATCTTTGAGGATTTCCTGCTGAGGGAAGCTCTCTGCAAAGAAGAGATGTAGCTATGAAAAATAGAGGTTGTGTAGAGCGAGCCTCCCTCTGTGATACTTTGCTCTGAGCATATTTCTGGGCGTGGGAACCCTGGACTTCACAC